GAATGAATGAGGGGCAGGCGAGCCCCTAGAGCGTGTTATAAGTAGAGGCTCGTCGTTGGTCAGGGTTCTTGGTCGTTCCTCGGTAATAGGTTTTTTTCTTATATTTTTGGGGTGCCTCGAAGACCGTGAAACGAGCGAAAAAAGTTGGATAATGATGATGACACGGCAGGAAACGGCAGGAAGAGTGCTATAATTGGAGGAGATGTTGGAGCAAAGGAAGGTAGGAATGAAGCAGGTGTACAGTTTTTGCTCAAAGCATTGCTCAATACAGAAATCTGTATTGCGAGAAAGTGACAAATCATTTAGCAGCCGAATGACGAAGAGAATGAACAGGAAAGGGCTTTAATTTGGATGTAAGATAAATAGGAATAGAGATTCTTTCTTTGGACCGAGTGCAGCTATCATACAGACCTATCAAAGCACTGCCCAGCACTGAGAAATTCACCTTGAGAGACTGACATTGCCCAACACTGGAAGAGAGAGTAAAAAATTACCAAATGATGGAAAAAAAAAACATAGAAACCATAAACAAGAATTCTCAGAAAATAGAGTGAAGAAATCTGTCGGTATTTTCCGTTCCACAAGAAATAAGTACAGTTCCCAGAGACGCACACGCACTGGCAACAATGAAAGCATTGCCCAACACTGAATGCAAACCATGTCAGTGAATTCTTCTCATGACAAAAATGCATAATTGATGGGCAACAATTGTGGGAGCGAGCAAGTGAGTGAGTGAATGGCCAAGTGTTTGTTTGGAGCGAGAGAAACGAAAAGCAAACAACAACTGCTACACATAGGATTACTTCCACTCGTTCCACTTTATATTCATGCCCCACTACTCACTCCGTACTTCGTATTCTTCGTATTTCTTCTCTTCTCGTGGGTTCTGTGTTTGTGCAGCCTAATGGCCAGCATTTCATTCCAACGTGTAACAAAAGAGACAAACAAATATTTGCGTGTATTATAATTATTATTATTTTGTGCCCCCTGTGAACACACAACACAACACACCGCACCATTCTAATGATAATTAAGATCGCTTAAGCAATGTAATGGACCTCCACTCTGCTGTGGTCATACCCCCCAAAAAACTTTTTCTTTTTGCTTCTAGCTAACTTTTTCCGATTACCTGTTTGTGGAGGGAGGGAGGAAAGCTGTCTTGTTTGCTTTCAATTTGTACATAAAATTTGGTGGAGCATTTGGGGGGGAGGAAAAAAAATATACAAAGGCAGAAGGGCGAAACTTTTTGTTTTGGGGCACGCATTACGCATACGCCGCCACGGAGTCCGGGAGTCCTTTGGTACATCCGGTGCGGCGGCTGCTGGTTTATGTGCGTGCCTTCATTATTGCCTCGCTTTCACATTGCTTCAGTGTTTGCCTCGCTTGCCACTGCCACTGCCACTGCCTCTTCTGTTTATTTTCCCTCTTATGCTGCTTTTTTGCCTTGTTTTCTCTGATTTTTGCCTCTGTTTTTGCCTTGCCTGCTCTTCGCTGTAGTAGTAGTATTTTGTTATGCGGCTCATGTATATTTCTCTCACTCTCTCCCTTGTGTGTGACCTTGCCATTCGCCTCCACTTTCAATGCAACATCAATGCAACAGCCTCGCAGCCTCTGTGGCAAAAGGCAGCCAACCCTCGTATAGCTGGCGGCTTTGGCATTGTCCTTGCCGTCCTTTGGGCTTTTGTTTTATATTTTAGGAGGGGGAATAGTGGTGCAGCGAAAATAGAAAGCAATGGCTGAAGAAACGGCTATTCGGTTGTGGCATATGAAATACCCCATGTGACATATGGCGAAAGCATTTAAAGAATAGTTTAAATAGAAAAGAAAAAGGACAATTTAGATTCTTATTTTGGTATTTCAATAATAATTTTATCTACATTTATATACACTCATTTATATTAACAGATAGTTGATAATCTTCAGTAAATAAATAAGTAGAAAAAAAGATCAAAATACCCATTAAAATCAGTTCGAAATTCAATAGACAATTTGATTAAGACCTAAAGGCACTTGAGAAAATCTCCAGCTCTTTGAAGTGGAAAACACTTTTTACAAAAGACAGAGCGAGCCCTTGGGCAACTTTCTGCGTTGGAAAATGACATCCATCATTTGGATGCCGCAAAAACCAATCTATTAATTCTATGATATGCACCACGTCTGCATTTTTCATTGTTCCCCCCAAAAAAAAAAATCTCAAATCCCCAAAGTGAAGAAATGAAATTGAATGAAAAACGAGTGGCGTTGCATTCCATTCGTAAGAGTATTCGTATTCGGATGCGCTGGGGTAAGTGGGAGGGTAGGCAGGAGGGGGGCTTTTGCCTCAATGACACTCGAAAGTGGAAACGCTTGCGGGTCTCTCAGTGGCTTATTGTGCTCAATATTTATCACCGTCACCTTGTCACCACCGGGGAAGCGGGAAGGGGGAAGGGGGGTTTGTTTCCTCACGCTATGCCTTTTCCTCGAAGTCTGCTGCCGCTGCTGCGTCTCTTGCTTTTCCTGCTTCTCGCTTTCTGAGTTTCCTCTACCGCTGCTTGTCCCCAATTGCATTTGCATCCTGATTGCTTTTGTATTTCCGTATGTGTGTGTGTGTGCCCTGGGTATAACAATAACTTCTTGGCCAACAAAAGACACCCAACTACACCACCAACTCTGTCCCTGCCACAACTTTTCGGCCAAAACTGCCCGAATCGAATCTGAATCTGAATCCCAATCCCAATCCCCAACGAGAGAAGACAAGTTGCCAACTAAATTGGTTTTGCCATGTCCTGCGACCTGTGCTTCGTCCCTTTCCACTGGGTCCTTTGGGGGCGACAATGGCCAAAAGCGCTAAAAGCGTACAAATGTTGTGCAATTTGTTAGCCGTAAGTAATGCTTCTGACAAAGTATTGAATAACCCAATACTGAGAAATATGCTGATGCTCACTGGGTAGGGAGTAACCAGTGCCCGGTGCCCCGTGCCCCGTGCCCAGTGTCCGCCCCTCTCCTGAAGCTCCTTTGGGTGTATTATATTTCAATTATTATTGGATTTCTTGGATTCCATGTTGCAGAGTGATTTTAAGCTTAGCAGATGGCTGGAAATAGGAGTAAAAGAAGCTTAGAAGATGGCAAATAGGGCTAGCTTTGGATTGGATATCATTCGAAATCAAGTTTCAATACATTTGAGCAATAATATGAGTAGAATATGAAGGAAAAAGTGCATTATCTGCCAGCTTTTCCTGAATTTAATTTTATATTTCCACTTCAATTCGGTTCCTTTGATTCTGTTTCCGAGTCACCTGTTGCTTGCTGTGGATACCATCTACGAGTAGTTGCAAGCATAGAAAAAGATACATTCCTCCTTGCTCCCCCCTCAAATATCCTTAAGATAACAGCTTAACAAATCTCTCAAGTCAACTCTTTTTAGCTTTAAAATAAATCATGGACCACACCGAGCACCCCAGCAAACAATTTTATCACACTCTACAAAAACATCCTTTAGCCATTTGTGTGAAGAAGCTAACAAAAAAAAAACATCCTTTTAGCCATTTATGAGCAAAAGTACGGAAATAATAATATGCATTTTCCTGCCTTTTTGTTGGATTTTCTGCTGGCATTCTGGGAAATATTTTATATTAAATCAAGAGAAGAGATAACTTTTTGCCTGTAGAAGCCTTAGGATAGATACGCTTTTACTCCTGGCATGCAGAAGGCAGAAGAAGAGTGCAGATGCCCATGTCTGTGGAAAAAGTCTACAGTCTGTGGAAAAGTGCGTACCTCGTTTATTTTTAGAGAAGAAACACAAACGGTAGCTGCAGTAAATACAGAAATAAATACAAATTAAATAATAAAAGCAGAAAACACGCAGCCTGCACCAAGAGGCACGCTCCGAGTCTCCCAGTAATCATCAGAAATCTCTGTGTGCGGCGCCATTGCATTCAAACAAAAGACTCAACTCGACTCGACATTATTTGCATGGAGGGGATTCCCGCGCTTCTGATCCTCCTACCAAAGAGCAGAGCACAACTGTTGTCACAGCAACTGCCCCGCCCGACATCCGCAAGCCGAAAGCAACAAAGTTCTGGGCAGTGCCCGAAGGCAGCGACAGATTTGTGATTTATTGCAGTAGGAGTCCGGAGTCTGGAGTCCGGAGTCCTTTTTGTTCGCTAGCAGGCGAGCGCTGATGCGCTCCTGCAATTTCGGTAAAAACGTAAACTCTGTGTGTGTATTCGCCGTGCTGCCAGCTTCCAGCTTCCAGCCATGAAGCATAACTAATTTATGGCCAAAGCAACGGAGTCGTGACGGGGCAACATTGGTCACACAATTGTGGTCACACCTTTTTGGTGGAGAGACTGATAAGCCGCAGAGTCGGACGTGCAGGAGCTTAAAGAGGAGTTTGTGCCAGGATCTCTGCCGGAACTGTCTGCTGCATCTGCCTCTGGATCAGTCTAGAATACGTGACTGCTAGGGTGTCTGTCTAGGTGCTGTCTGCCCAGCAGTTCATCTTGGAGTCGCTAGAAATCTGTCAAAGATCTGTGGAGCTCGGTACAGTATCTATTGGAATACCAAAATACCAAAACCATTTTCCTTCTCTAAAGGGAGCGAAAATAATGCAGCTTTAATTACAGTTGAAGGGCTTTGTCAGCTAAATGAAGCGTAGGAGAGAGGGCGGGCGCATGTCGCACACATTCCACTGTTTAGTATTTGCAAAACTATTTCAATGCCAGCCACGCCAGTTATCCGGCTGCTACTCCATCCCTTCTTCACTCTACACAGCTCCTCCCTTGCCCAGCACTCGCGGCGACCCCCAACAGTAGAGAATTTTCTGGGATGCGCTCGATTTCCGCACATTTTCCGCACATACATTTTCATTATACTCGTCGCACACTTTTGACAATGCGGCTGACAATGCGGCCCACGGGCTGCAATCCCCGTTCCCGACCCCCTTTTTGGAGGCAACCATTTTGACAAAATTTAATTTGTTTTTTATTAAATTTATGTAAATTCTGTTACTCTTCTTGCAGGACTGACTCTCGCCTCCCCCCGTCTGAAGCCACACTGAAGGACTGGAAGTGAAAAGTCGAAATTGAAATTGTAAGTAGCCACGAAAGCAGGCCACACATTTTCCCCACACTCTTTTTACTGATTAAACCACTGAAAAATACTGTAAATTGTGCTGTCAGTAGCATCAGGCGCCAAAAGGGAGGGCCAAGTGCAGGGGCACAGGTCAAAGTTCAGCCATGTTGAACGATTTTTGCACTTGCTAGCTAACGGGGCGTATGATTGATATGCGAAATGTTTGCTGCTGCTGCTGCCGCTGTGGCTGCGGTCTTACCACAAATTTAATGCGCGGCCAGCAAGGTGTTAAATTGCCCGGAACCACGCCCACAGCAAGCAGCACCGACATGACACGCCTCTTTTTTTTTGGGAGGTGGAATTTATAGTATTTACCAGAATTTTGTGCAGCAGCAGCAGAGGGACGAAGGAGCCTTCGTGTGCATTGTCTTGAGAATTTAATTAATTTACATGTGTAGATGCAAGCATTGTTGTGTTATGTGGCACGTATCTTCAGGTGGCAATCAAAGCTAAAGCTTGAGGACATATTTGAATGAGGACCTTTAATCCTTTTGGCATTGTCTAGAAAATTAATTGATGTACGAGTCGAGTACGTGCTGCTTTTTGATGGGAATACGAGTATGCTGCAAGTAGCTGCAGGAGGGATTGCAAGTAGCTGCAGGACACAAATGACAAAGCAAACAATGAAAGGAAATCTCTGGAAAATCACAATGCATTTTAGTGCACAGAAAGGGGGAGTGGAAATGGCAGAGAAAATTACCATAGAAGAGTGAGAGAGGTAATGAAGTATTGGTATAAGAAAATGAGTAGAGTGATTGCGTTTGGAATTAGACGAAATAATCCATTGGGGGGCAAAATGGGAGATAGATTTTTAGCTCAAAATTGTTGACATGGAAAATGATTGGAAAATGAACAATGCCTACAAATTGATGGCCAAACGGAAGAGGCAAACCCAAACGCCCATTGTCAACGCTGCTGCTGCTGCTGTTGCTACCATGCAAATTTGATAAGAAGCTTACCTTTATCTCAATCTAAGGCTATCGAATGGCAATGCTATTCACACAGCAACAGCAATAATATCTGCATTGTTCTTCAGGAGCGGACAAGGACATTGCAGCTGCATTGTTCCCTTTTCCATTTGAGAGAGAAGGAAGGTATTCTCCATTGAGAGGGAAGGTCATTGGCCTAAGAGATATATTGAAACTGTGGGCATGGCAGCTATTGAAATTGAAGGATGTGGCAGGATGAACAATGATGCTCCTCCAATGGATGGAAAATGCATTCATAATTCCTCACTTCAATTTATGGCCCTTTGAGAGCTTCTACTGCACTCTTAAAATTTAAATTTAAATTAAATTTAAATACATTCCCATACAAGAAGAGACGCTACACCTGCGCAAAAAAAAATCCATCTGCTATAACCGATTGACATTTGAATATGCTCGTATTCGACATTCGAATATTCTCTGCCGCGCGCATCATTGATTCAATGAAATTTCATTAACGAATCCTCTGCAGCCTCCTCCTGTTGGCTCACTGGCATTGAAATTCTCTAATTAACAGCAGCCCAGCAACAAGGTTTTCCATTTCACAATTCCGCCTCACAGAAAATGCAATTTTCACAGGCAAAATCTACGCCTGGATATCGCTCATACGTCATGTAGTACGAATTCGAAATGCGAAGTGGAAATGCGTCAAATGCGGGGATAATTCACTTACGTGGAACGTCTGAGTGGGGTGGAAAAATGATTCTGGCTGTTGGTGTGGGGACATGGCATGGAAACATGGCCACATGCCGCTTGGTCTTTTAACCTTGCCACGTGGCAAAATGGCATTTAACGTGGTTAGCAGGAACACAGAGGGGCAGAAAGGGGAGAAAGTGTATGGAGCGAATGACTGGAAAAGTGAGAGGAAATAGAGAGTGAAGAAGTGGGGGGAAAAACGTTTCAAATTATGTGTGTGTGAGTGTGTGTTTGTCGGAGGAGGAGTAGTGGGAAATTTTAACATTTTATTTCAATGCAATATTCTCCGAATGAAATGAAATGTCTCCGGCATGTGGCGAAAATTGAATTTTCATTCACAGGAAAAGGAAATTCCACTTCAATCGCGAAAGCTAAAAAGGAAATTCCATTTCAATCCCAAAAGCTAAAGGATGTGCTGCACAACAGCTGCAGCTGCTGTTGCAACTGCACGGAGTCTTACTCGAAGTTTTTCCCTTTCCATTCTCTACATTTCTGCTTCCCTCTGCTTTAATTGTAAAAGTTTTAAAAAATTCATTGGACATTTCTTTCCGTTATGTGGAGGGCGCCAAACAGCTGTACAAGATGAAGTCCCTTGAGTGGGCGCCCCATGCCATCCGCTTCCTGCATAAAGTGGGATATAAATTTTTAAGACGTGTCTAGAAAGATGGAAGCTGGCCAGCGGAAATGGGTAAAAGTACCTAGTTGTTTTTTTAGTCGGTATTTTGGCTTTTCGGCGAGGGTTGCATGAGCTGAGGGGCACGGCTTATGCAGATTGCCAAAAGGAATATCCTTCAAATGAATTCATTTAACGGTTGGGCCCCGGTTCGAACCCGGGCGGAAGGAAATCTGAAATCGTTTTCTATAAAAAAAAAACTATTTATGGCAGAAATTTATTAAATATAATTTTTAGAGTTTCCATATTAGAGAATAAAATGTAAATTGAATAACTTTAATAGTAGGCTCAACAATTCAAATTATTTTTTCTTAGGATTATTATACAATATTTGAACGAAATTGCATTGCTTTGGTTTCTTGGGATTATTTTCAACGAATTAAAGGAAATCTCGTAAAAGAGTTTCCGTAGTGTAGTATAAGAAAAATTTAATTTTTTAGCAGACAAATTCCATTGGGTTTTTATTTTCCTTTGGTAGAGGAGATATCTGCCTTATGTGGACCACCGAAAGACACTACTAAGCCCATAAACCACACAGAGAAAGAGATCTCTAAGCAGGCAGCCTTTCCTGAGTGAAAAATCTCTCTTTGATGGACACCTTTTCTGGCTAGAAATGGTTGGCTTCAAGTGTTGCACTCGAACAGTGCATAACGGCGCATATCATTCATAACTCTATCTGTTTCCCCTCTGATTGATTCACTCTGCAACGATTACGAGCACTGCCATACGGTAACTGGCATTCGATTGCCCAACCAAAATTCAGCCTCGAACTTGTTGAATCTGCTCACGCGGTATGGCCGCCTGCCACTGCCTCGGCCTCTGCGACTGTGTGTTACATGAGCAGCTACATAGCCATAGCCATGGCAGTCACATTGGCACAGCCGCAGCTGAAGGTAAAACGTGCGAAGGACACACAAAGACACACAGAGAGAGAGTGTGTGTGTGTGTGTTTGTGTGGCAAGAAAACGTTGCATGGAAATCCATGACAAAATGTAACAGATTGGCCGCCACACACAGCAGAAGGCAACCCCAAACCCCCTGCGGAAAGGCAGAAGGAAAAGGTACAAGGCTAAGCCCCCGGGCAGAGGCTCATAGAAAGCGAAAGAGATGGCGAGACATGGGAGGATAAAGAGTGGGATAAAGTAGGAGAAATTGTGTGTGTGTGTGTGTGTGTGTGTGGGAGAGAGAGAGAGAGTGGACGGTTGCATATTTAATCCTGTTGATTTTTATTTGTTTCCGTGTTGGTTCCGCTGCTTTTGCTGCTACTGCTGCTGCTTCTACTTTTTATGGCTTTTTATCTGCCTGATGATTGTGCATGCTCTTTGTTGGCCCACTGCCACGCCACGCCACGCCCACACAAAGCCCACGGCCGCCCTCACACTGACCTTTCCATGAAGGTCGGGGCATCCTACCTGATGCTGCCACACATGCATTTTATTTTCTATTCAAAGCCTGTTTGCTGCCTCTTAATTTTCCATTTTCCATTTTCTGTATTCACATCTCGATGACAGTTTCAAAGATGCACGTGGCCCGAGTTTACGATCAGTTTAGTTTAGTTCTTTAAGGGCTAAACGGAGGAGATGGAGATGCTTTTGCATATCCCTGTTAAAAATAGAACTGAAGGTTGCAACACAAATAGAGTGGGAAATGGAATTCAAGAAGAGATTGGAAATTTATTACATGAGTGAGATTGCTATATGTACATAGTAGGAAGGCCTTGATAATGATATGCCCTTCTAAAATACAGGAAAACACATACATAGATATGTATGTATTTATGTGCTCTAGGGCTTTGTCGATTCACGTGGAATTTCGACACGAAAAGTTCTGAATCGAAGCTTTAGTTGAGGTTTTTAGTTGAAGCCAATTGAATTCAATAGAAGAGAATGTTATATTCCAGTGGAAGGATAAATGTGTACATTACTTTTATATTGGTTGGATCTTAATCGCTTGTTGCCACAGGCTACACCACGAGCGGCGCAGTGAAGCTGCATGTGGCTCAGTTGTTCCGTTAATTCGTCTCTCCCTCTCTGATATTTTTTTTGCATGTCTTATCTCTCTGCAGCAACAACAACACCCATGCACCCACAAAACTCTGCTCAGATGACACTCGCTCTCTCGTTTTCACTCGCTCTGAGGCTCTCTTGCTAATGCAAAAGATTTCCGAATGCAGATATAACCAGATATAATGGGACTTTGCTTTGCCTGCATTAATTATTTGTTGTTGTTTTTGTATCTTTATTTAATTTAATGTTCTTACTGCTATGCTTTGAATGGCAGACAAGGCAACATTAATACCCTGCTATTTTTGTAGATGAGATTCTCCAAGGCAATCAGGAAAACATTTGTTTTCCCGATTCGTTTTGGCAATCAATTCTCAAAGCAAACTCGCAATGCTGAAAATAGCTGACAAGTTAAACCAAAATTTATACGCTGCCTGACTCATGCATTAACCAATGCATGCAATAAATGAGATCAGCAGTGGAGATTCCATCCCAGCCGATACGCTCTAGTGTTTTTTCAAGGTTAGCCAAAACAGCATAAATAAATACGAGCAGCGTAACTCGGTTTTTTCAATTTCCATTCCATTTCAATGCGGGGTT